TCAGCCATATTTCAAAAGCTTAATCATCATTAATGATCATATAAAAGTTCTGTTTTACATTCATCTTCTTGTCAATCAGTCTCATAAGATAAATATAGTCATATTGCTGAACAACAATCAGCTAGTGGGTATCACCATATTATCTCATGATGCCTTTCATCATAAATAAGTATTGCAGTTTTTAAAACAACATAAAGCAGATGTTATARCTTCAGTTTTAAAATATAACTTATGTTACCATGCATTTGATAGGTCTTGATATATCTAAGATCAAAGCTTTAAAAGCATTCAAATTGAACACAATGAAGACAATAAACCKATCGGAATTTGATGAAGTATATTTACATGGGAATTGTATTTGTATTGAACGTAAAATCATGATAAATAACATCGATGTAACTTGAATATTAAAGTTTAAAGATTTAAAGTAATAAATTGTAAAGCTAGTTTCAATGAATGTGGTTATAATCACTCACTCAATCAGTTAGTTGCAAATCGAAACGTTTCTCTAGTTGAGCTCTCTCGGCAACCTATGACATGCAAAATACAGAGAACATTTGATTCCCCATGTCCCTTTGCTAAGCTAAAATGTCTAACGAAATATAAGGGGAAAAGCGCTATTATTTCTCGATAAACTATACAAGGAACTCACTAATTGCAGCTCTAAAYATTTCTCTCAGTTAATCTTACCTTAAAGCAAAGAAATATACAAAAGTCGCGCGATAAATCCAGAGATTTGAATACTATGTGGCCCTTTGCAACTGAAATGCAAAGACACCACATCTCAACCGGAAGTTCTGTTTGACAAATGTGCGCGTCGCGCAATCAAATGGCGCCAAAACTAGTTATGAAGAAATATAGGCTTTAACTAATGCAAAAATCGTTGTATCCAGAGCTAGAACTTCCTAATATCGTTAATCGGACTTTTTTTTATTGAGAGTGATTTTTTTAACGCTTTTAAAACACTTTTATTCAAATATTGATCTTGACGTGGGTTTCCTGTGGTAAGATGTCACGGTACTGCGGTGGCCAGCTGTTCGTTACATAAAAGTAGGTCATGCGAGTCATGTCGAGATTTATGCCTGATCAGGTCATAATATTGCGCTATCAGTTCGAAAGAGTAATTTCTTAGTTTGAAACTTTACAAAGGAAGCTTTGTATATCTAAAATACGAAATAACGTAGAGCTTTTAGACAGGTAACGTCAGAATATGGCTGATTTTGTATTACGAAACGGAAGAGTCATCGACCCTGCGAACAAAGTTGACAGAATTGCAGACGTGGAAATTCAGGATGGCAAAATAGTTCGTGTTGGTGATCTCTCTCCTCACTTGAATGCTACAAATGTCTTTGATGCAAGTGGTTGCATAGTAACGCCTGGATTGATTGACATGCATGCCCATGTTTATGAGTTTGCAACACCTCTTGGCGTCAATCCAGACGAGACCTGTTTGGCCAGAGGAGTGACCACTGTTGTTGATGCAGGCAGTGCTGGTAATGRTTTAACTTGTTCCTCACAGCATTCCTGTAATTTCTTAAATATATCTTCCAGTCTTTTTTTTTCTTTATCTTTTATTTCCCATTTATTTTTATTTTCCTGTCTATTTTCTTTCTTATGAAAGCAAGGACTGCATGCATGCCAGAAAAGTTATAGTGCTAGCAATGAGGTTGCTCTGGGAGAAACACCTGTGGGTCCAAATCCAGCAAGGTCAAAATTTATTTTTCCGAATTTATTTCCAAGGGTCTTTCTCCCAGAATAACCTCCTTCCTAGCACTATAACTTTGCTTTATTTCTATATTTTCTTTCTTGCCCAATTTTCCCTTTTACTTTCCATTTCACCTTTTTTGTTTCATATGATGCACAACAAAGGAGCATGCACATTTCAAGGTCTGCGCAAGTACATCTGTGAAAGAAGCAAGACAAGAGTCCTGGCATTTGTACATATAGCTTCTCATGGACTCAGTGCTGCTGGCTGTGCTGGAAAAGGTTGACATTTCCAAGAATTTCTTTCCGGGAACTTAAGACTTCATAATAAATTTTGGCTTCATCTTACAGATTTTAAGGGAGGCGAATGCGACTCTCTCAATCAAGTAGATACCGATTTATGTGTAAAATGCATCAAAGAAAATAAGGACGTCGCTGTTGGAGTGAAAGTAAGGTTATCAGAGCTTGTCACAAATGATGGAAAAAATGAAAAGGAGACATTTAGGTAAGGTACAAATGGCAGTGCCAACCCCACGCCACCCTAGTCTCCTCGCAGCCGTGTTTAGTTTTGGTCACACATCAAGCAAACTCTCCGWGTGTGGAGATTGTGTGATGCGTGACTGAAACTAAACACCGCTGTGAGGAGACTAACTCCACCCCTAAGCAATCTAGTTTTCACCAGGGCTACTGGTATTCAGACAAAAGTAATTACAATTATTTCATTCTTTGTTATTGAATTAGGAGAGCACTTGCAGCTTCTGCCAATGCTGGTCTTCCTTTAATGGTTCATTATGCTTGTTCAACTATTCCCATAAATGTTGATGAAGGTACAAAACTAATAGCAATGCATCATCTAAATTTGCAACTGTCAGTTTAGCTGAGTGTTGAATCAGGATTTCACTTGCTYAGCAGCAAGCCTCACTCTCAATGTAGAACTCTTAATTTTATTGGGGAAATTCTTTTTTAAGCCCATGTTTTCCAATCTTGCATTATGAGGTTAGTGCCATTAAAGGCAACTAATTTGATTCATACATCAAAGCTGAATAAGTTCTGTCTGTAATTTATCAGGTTACAAAGATTTATCATGTCCAGGGAGCCTAAACAAAGGTGATATTCTCACACATGCACTCCATGGTAATCCAAACACCATTATTGACCCCAACAAGAAAACAATCTGCCAATCTGKACACAGGGCTCGTAAWSATGGGGTACTTTTTGATGTGGGACATGGYTTTGGCTCATTTTCTTGGACTGTAGCTGAGCTCTGTGCAAAAGAGAACTTCTGGCCAGATGTAATAAGTACAGACTTGCACAGTGTGAGTAGAGAAGGGCCAGTTTATGACCTTACAACGACAATGACCAAGTTACTACATGTGGGAATGCCACTATATGATATCGTCAAGGCCGTTACCGTGACGCCAGCAACTGCTATAGGTTGGCAAGACAAGATTGGTTCTTTAACCCCAAATTTTGTTGCCGATGTAACAGTTTTAAAAGTTGAAGATGTAAATTTTGAAGTGGAAGATACTCAAGGGCAACTGAGAAATATTCAAAAGTGGATTACTCCAGTGGCTGTGTGGAAAAACGGAGTGCCTTATGAAATCTCAAAACCAGACCCTTCACCAGGCCATAACACAGCAAGGCTTATAGAGAACTGGGATAGATACATAGTGAAAGATCCTAGGAAGCCAACTGCCAAAAATTAGGTTTTAAAATTCTATAAGATATTATTTTTAGCAGCTTGTGGTCCCTGGCAAAGTTTATTCTCCCTCAAAAACAAAAGTCTTCACCTAAAATTTCTAAATCCTTGTTTAGAATATATTAAAATGTTACATCCACCATGAATACTTTTATCCTAGTTACGCTTTGAACTTCAGATGTAATGAAATGGGTAACAAAATGCATATTATTACATGTTTTTAATACAGAAATTAAGARCTATAACTTAATGAATATGTATAATAATTTGATTCAACTATCTCCTTTGTATATTATATAAACTATGACATAARGAATATTATGTATTTGACTAAAACTTGAACTGTTTCTCTGATCTATTAAATATTATATGGTGCAAGCCTTTAAGTAATAAAGAAAATGATCTTATGGTAKAAAATATAATCCATGAATTCCTATAATAGGATTGTTTACYTTTTTATACACCATGCCAAACCATCATCATCGAAAATTATGAACTATTTTTATCAGTGTTTACATGTAACTTATCTTGTATTTTCAAGTGCAAACAGTGCACTATTTAATGCAAAATAGAGTCAATGTATGACCAATAA